TTTTGTCCTGTGTTCTATTTGTGATGCTAACTCCAGCTCTCTGGCTTTAATGAAGCGGGAAGGGTTTGAAGATTATGAACCTTGGAGATGGACAAGCTACAAGTGGTGTAGCTGCTGCTCTTCAGCATGACGATGATGAGGCTGTTGATCCTCATCTTGAACGAATAAGAAATCTGGCTGGTGGTGAGGAGAGTGATGAGGAGGTACTATATGATTTCCCCCTATTTCATTGATCTTTTTTTATTTATCAATAGATTTTGTTGTTACTCTTTCCTCTATTCTCTGCAGGATGAAGATTTTGTTGCTGAAAAGGATGATGGTGGATCTCCTACTGATGACTCTGGAGAGGAGGAATCTGATGCCAGTGAAAGTGGAGATGACAAAGAAGTAATATTATGACCTTTGCTTTTAGTTGCTTATGGTTTTGCCTTCTTTTTATTTGGGAACAGAAAAAAAAGATAATGAACTTGCCATTGCAACACACTAGGCATGTCTTATTACATATTGCCTATATTGCTCATTATGGTTTTTAGTGTTTGAACAAGCTGGTTTTTGCCAATTTCAGAAACTCGTTAAAAAAGATTCAGCAAAAGGAGTTACTGCCACTAAGAAATCGTCTGCGAAGAGGAAGCCCAAGGATGGAGAAGAAGAAGGTTCAAAGAAGAGAAAACAAAAGAAGAAAAAGGATCCGAATGCACCTAAAAGGGCAATGTCAGGATTCATGCATTTTTCGAATGCTGAAAGAGAGGTAAGCTGAAGTTTTAACTGTTAAATTTCGAGTGATGTTGCATTCTTGTCATCCTGCTCTAATTTTCATCTCTTTTTATCCTCTCTTTGTTCTTTTAAAGTGTTGGTGACCCATCTCGTGTGTAGACCTCATTTATTTCCACAATTTATGTCTTTTGATTTGTATAGTTTTGCCTTTCAAGGTATTAGCTACATATTCACCTAGCTTAGGAGTTACATTTAAAAACAGCGGAGAGCTTGTTATGTGAATTCCACTCTTAATGAGTATGCCATTCTTTTTTGTGCTACTTGCTCTCACGGGGCATAAACAATTGTCTCTCAAGCAAAGTTATCAATACCCCTGGTATTTTGCATCATTCAAAATATAATCTCTGATGCAAATTACTTCTTTTTCACTTGGTTAAGAATCAAAGCGAGAATTAGGTTTAATCATTATGCAATTAGTTTTATTTTTCTCACTCGAGTCTTAACAATGTAAAAAAGGAGTAATTTGCTTATCAGTTATGTGCCAAAATATGTCAAGCAAATTTAGATGCCCTATCACACAAAGGCTCTTGCCACACATTATGTGCTCGAGAAGGTGGGAAAATATTGATAATGTATGCTTAATTCAATTACTAGTATTGTGGATTTAAAAAACGCAACAATTAATTTTAGTTTTAAAAACAGAGTTGCAAATTAGTTTTATTGTTGGAGAGATGTTTCTTATTTAACGCATGACTGAAATGATGCTTCAAATGAGATGATTTTTTTTACATGTTGCAGAATATTAAGAAAAGCAATCCAGGGATGGCATTTACTGATGTTGGGAGGGCTCTTGGAGAGAAGTGGAAGAAGATGACTGGTAAGTTTCTTTTTCTTTCTCCTTTATTGATTGGGTCAATTGTAGATAGTACACCTGTACTATCGCCCAGTTGCAGATGGACCTCTGTTGTTCTATTATTGCAGATAAACCCCTGAAATAAATTTTTTCTCTTTTACCCTTGGGAGGTCAATTTGTCAAAAAAGAATTTTTTTTCCCTCTGTCAAAATTTTCACTGAAGAAGATCTATCTGCATTCTGCAATAATCCAGAGGATCTACCTGCATTCTGCAATAATATAACTGCACGGGGTCTATCTGCCATTAACCCTTGCTAACTATGTATATGTCCTCATTAGTGGGTGTGGTTTTTTTGGAATGACCGCCCGGGGGGGGGGCGGCGGGGGCGGGGGGCCTCCATTCATCGGAATATGCTGATGCCATAAGTTCCTAGCCTGCCCAGCTAGTCATTCGATAATACATTAGGCTGATAATTCGAAGTGCAAAGCATGTTTCTCTGCCTTAACTTGATTTTATTTCTGTTTGTTGGCGGGCAGCTGAGGAGAAAGAGCCATACGAATCAATGGCTCAGGCTGATACCAAACGCTATAAGGAGGCCATGGCTGATTACAAGAGTGGAACAGTAAATGTGGGTTCCAGCGAGGACACCGAGTAGGATCAGTGAGTGGAGATGGCAGTTTATGTAGCTTAGCATCAGATTAGAACATTTAGCATCAGTGAGTAGAGATGGCAGTTTATGTAGCTTAGCATCAGATTAGAACATTTAGCAACCATATTTTGTCTTGTATAAATCCATAGCTTTATGTACTTACGAATGTTATGAACATTAGCAGGAGCTTTCAAGGATTCATCGGTTTCTTGCTAGAATTTGTGCAAATTTCAACAGATACTTGATGATAGCTTTGACGGCAACAAATCTGATTTGAGTTTGCACCACTTTTTTTTCGCTGTTGTTTTTCTTCTTCTTCTTTTTGGGTTAATTGAACATAGATTTGTACAAATTTCCTACTGTGTTTTTTATGTTCGATTTTGGCAAATAGATCTCCTGGATGAACTTTTTTTCCTTCTCACTCTTATCCTTGGATAGACTTGCTCATTTCGCTCTTGAAGTGTAATATCTGTCAAATTTCACACAGGTTCGCCGGTATCTGCTAAAATCGAACTTAAAACAGTAATGAGTTTCAAAATGTGAATATCATAGGAGGCCTACGTGCAGTGAACCCAAAGAGCAATAGGTTCAGGTCTGATATCATAGCGGAAAACAGGCTCATGCAGAGACACATCTACGCGCTAGCTCGTGTTCTGAACCCATCTTCTTCAATAACAGTCACCTTCATGATTGTTATATTTTACATAAACGGCAATGATCTCTTTAAGGATTCTCTCTTAAACGTAAATGGTTCTTCAAGAAGATCGATGATGTTGATTTTAGTTTCCCAAGTACTTTTCATGATATCAAACTGCAAAAATCAACATGAAATTCTTTGTGGAGCATGGACATATATATATATAATTCCTAAAGATTAGCCTCCGAAGAGCCGCAAAAATCAACATGAAATTCTTTTTCAGAGCATGGACGTAATTCCTAAAAATTAGCCTCCGGAGAGCTTAATTCCTGTCTTAAACTGCTTTTCTTCATTTGCTCCCATCCGTAGAGATCCCGTGTATGCAGACCAAGTTCTCAGTCTCGTCTTCCTCTGCGTGCATGTCTGTGTGTACTCGGTCTTATGGCTCTCCTCACTTCTCTCCGTTCTTCCTATTCGTAGCCATCGATCGATTTTCATGCCTATTAATAGTCTGGTTTACTCCCTAAAGTTTCCTTTTTTTTGCTTAATAAAATTTTACTTCAGACCGATTCCCATTATCACTATCACCACCTCCGCATCACCGAAGGAAATATAAGTGAAAGCGGAGGAGAAAGTATATATATATATATTTTTTCTTTTTAAAAAGAGAGAGAGAGAGAGAAATAAATAAATAAATATCTAGAAGATGGAGACCTCAAGATCCATCTCCCTGGTGTTCATCCTCCCCTTAGTCGCCTTCACCATGACATCTTCGTCGACAGTCTCTGCGGAAACTGACGAGGAGTACTGGAGGAAGAGGCAGGAGGAAGCCGAAATAATCGCAAGAGCTTCATACGTCCCGGATCCCTTCTCTGTTACCAATTCCTTTAATGCAGCTGTCAACAAGTAATTAAGAATACTGATTTCTTTTTCTTCTACAAGCTGTTCAACTTTCCAAGTGATAGTCTTGATAAGATGACTATACGCATGCACGTAGCCTTTGCTCATGTCACAAACAAATCGCATTTCGTCGATCACTCTCATGTTTTGTTTCGATGTATAGCGAGGACGATACGTTGTCCATGCACTCAGCTGGTGTATTGCTAACTCGACACGCGTTCAGGCCTCCGCGCTTCAGACAATTAACATATATGGCCGACGGCCCTGATGTATGGCTATACCTGCGCAGTGCACCAGCTGAGTAGTTTTGTCGAGAAACACCCCGGCCGGCTAGGTCCTATCAAACCCAAAAAACCACGAATCTAGTCAAAATACTTCCCGTGCATGAAGTGTTGTGCAAGACTGCATGTGTTAAGATCCCAACCGCCAGGAAAACAATATGTTGACATCAGAATTTATGTTCTTCAAACAGACGGACCCATGAACGCACCCCTTGTAGGATAGGCTGTGTATTCTTTTTTTTTTTTTTTTTTTTTTTTTTTTTTTTTTTTTGATTTTCGGGTTTTTTTTTTTTTTTTTGGGTAGTAGTCCCTTGAATCTTTCATATTTGGACTCGGTCCCTCAAATCGTTGAAACTGCTATGAGATACCCCAATTCTCAAGCTATTTTGAAACTGGTCCCTCAATTCACCGAATTTGCTATTAGGCCTCCTAATTCTTAATTAAGTTATTTTGAAATTATCTCCTCAATCCGGAGAAGAAGTAGGAACTAGAGGGATTAATTAGAAATAGATTAATTACGAGGGATGGGGGAACTATTTATTGGCAATTTAAACGATGCAAGGGGCTAATTTCCCTATAGCCGTTGCTACCCAACTCTTGATCGGAGGTACCAACTTCAAACGACATAATCTTTGGAGACCTTATATCAATTTCAACGATTTCGAGAACAAATTAAAAAATATAACTTAAGAACTGGGGGAACCTAATAACTGACTTCGGTACTTTGAGGGACTGACTTAAAGATGTGACTGATTGAAGGGACTAATATCGAAGAAGGCCTACATCTCATTTGGTTCGACTGAAAATTAAATTATGCAGGGTTATGAGCAAAAATAAGACAGAAGGCAGGAGAGGCCTAGGCTCGGGCTCGGGCTCGGGCTCGGTCCTCATGAAAAGCTCCTGTAAAGCCACCAACCCCATCGACCGCTGCTGGCGTTGCCGAGCCGACTGGGCTGAGAACCGCCAGCGCCTTGCTGGCTGCGCCAAGGGCTTCGGCCGCAAAGCCTACGGTGGGGGCAAGAAGAGCAAAATATACGTCGTCACCGACAGCTCCGACGAGAACCTTGAGGACCCCAAGCCCGGTACCCTCCGCTGGGGCGTCATTCAGGTGTACTTCAATATATTTTACTTTCCATAGATATCAAAATTTGTAGTCCCCCTACATTGCATTGCATTGTATACCCTCACTTGTTTTTCGCAGCACTTACATATACGCTACTACTACGCTAGATCTCTAAAAATATGCACTCCAAGTGCGAATGTGAGAATATTACCCCCCAATATTCCCGTGTGACACACACAAGATATTTCAGAAAATTTTAGTGTTTGTTGAATTTGGCATTAGACACATCATAATTTTATTTTAAACCTATATATCTTAATTATATTTTAAAATAGGATTACGATGAGTTTCAAAGTAAGCTTGAAAATGTTAAGGGCGAAAACGTTCTAAAATTAATTAGCTTGCGACGTCACACACACACGGGGGAAAATTCGCGAGAAATTATCACGTCTGCATAATATTAGAAGATATTATGCTAACAAATAGATGAGTTGAGTAGTGGCGTCTGCTACGTACAGAGCGTGTATATGAGAGATTCACCAATCATGTCTCCTTCGACGATTAATTAATTAGCAGCGTATATAACAAGAGATTTTTTTGTTCTTAACGCCAGGACGATCCCCTCTGGATCATTTTTGCCGAGGACATGGTCATCACCCTCCAACAAGAACTCATCGTTGCCAGCTGGAAGACAATCGACGGCCGAGGTGCCAAAGTCGAGATCGCCCACGGCGCCGGGATCACGATCCAGTACGTCACCAACGTCCTTATCCACGGGATCCACATCCATGACATTGTCGTCGGGAGCGGAGGGACGATACGCGACAGCTTAAAGCACCTGGGGCTCAGAACCCAGAGCGACGGGGACGCGGTCAGCATCTTCGGCTCGTCGAACGTGTGGAT